AATATGATTTACAAAATACTCGTACTAATTTTGGGGTGGTAGATACATTTTACATGTACCCAAAACCTTTATTATGATTTTGTTCAACATTTGCCCATATGTTATGAAATTATGTTTTGTTGAATGACTTACTAATAGTTTTGAAGCATGTGTATGGTGGAGTATTTAAGTATTTCTATTACTTTGTTGAAAAAAAAAGTATTTCTATTACTAAATTACGTTGTCAAAGTGATGTTGTATTATTTGGGTTTTCAAATTGAACAAAAATGAATTTTATAACAAAGATATAACCAATCTCTCTATATGATCCAAATCTGCAATCGTAGAGTATTTACTACGGATTCCTCGTGTGGCCAAAGGTTAAACACAACACTATACATAATATTAGTTACCACAGATCATGTACCGTTGCTATTAGTATAACCGACAGTTAAAAACTGTGGTAAAGGTTTTTACCACGGCTGTTATGCCCACGCACACAAAACTGTCGTAGAACTGTCGTAAATACTATTTACCACAGTTTATATATCCTTTTATGACAGTTTATAACTGTCACAAAAACCTATATTTCTTGTAGTGCCTCTTCTTTTCATTCTTTTCTTAATCTCTTTTGGATTCAATCATGAAAAAGGTTTCATTTAACTCGTATTTTCAGTTTTATATATACATTTATTTCCTAGCGCTGTCTAGAGATGTTTTTTTGCGGCAAAGTGTCGCTTGCTAGATGTATCTTCCCACCATTATCGGTCAGGTGTTCTTGTGTGCTCGTAAAAGGTTTGTATCGACTTTTTCATCAATCATGAATCTTGATTTCTTCTGCAGCATAGAGGTCGGTTGCAACCCCCCCCCCCCCAAACCACTCCCGATCCAAGAAGATGAAATTGCATGGATTCCTTTTTTTCCTGTGGTTGGTGAAAACGGAACAATTTTTGCACTTGCTCCTTGCCAGTGGCTAGAAAAACCGACAAGTTTAATAATTTCTTTTCGTTGGTTGGTCAAATTGGACCCATTTCGAGTTGCATCAACAGTCACACTATGATACGAGTCTACATGGTTGCAGTGATAGCGAACACGAGCGTTTGAATGTAGTTTTTTTGTTCTTTGTCTCACCCTTGAATGCAAGGTTAGCATTTAACGCCTTGATTGCAATATTTCACCTTTTGATTGTTGTGTTTCTTGTTACCAATAATTAAGTTATTTTTTTCAAAAATAAAAAAGAAAAGAAAAGGAAAAGTTATTCATTTTAGGGTTGGGCTTTTATCATTAGTCCTATCTGATGTTCTTTTTTTAGTTCTTTCTTTATTCCTCCTTTTTGTATGTTGCCGTGCTTTTCTTCTCTTTCTCCTTTTCAACTTTCATGTACTCACTTTTCTTTTTCCTAAACAGGAGAAGACAATTTGTACTCCATAAGACATGGATATAAACTTTACATTGAATAAGATATGTTTATAGACTTTCATTATGTGCAATCCGATATTAAAAAGCATATGGACACATTTAAAAGTAAATTAAAAGTCGGAAATAAAATGAGTAAAGGCACATGTATAAACATACATAAAAATTAAATAAAAACTATTAAGTAAATATTGAATTTCAATAGTAAGATAATATTTAGTCCATGGGTGTGGTGGGGGCCAATTAATGAATGAGCGCATCCAATAAACTTGAATTAGTAAAAATTTATCTAAGATCGCAAATTATACGGTGCAACCGGCATACCATGCTCATGGTATGACGGTTTGCAATACGGTGCCGTTTTTTTCTTTCCTCATTACGGAAGCCGTCTTTCTCTTTCATCCAGGTAAATACTTTCTTTCTCTTTATTTTTCTTTTCTATTTTCTTCAATTCTTTTCTCTTTAACATCAAAATACTAAAAATTTATTTGTGATTTTACTTATATTTATCTTTAACTAATTAAAATAAAAATGAATTTACATTTTTTCTTTACCAAATCATTACAAAATTTTATTAATCCACACAAAATAAGTGTATTGTAATACATTTTACTAGGTATATTTTATTAATCCACGTAAAAGGCATATTTTATCAATCCACATAATAATTGAATCTATTTTTTTATTCTCTATCAATACATAACAAAAAGTTTATAAATCTAAATTAAAAAAGTATATTGCATTTACATTCATACACTGCTTTTATTTCTGTAATATTTACAATATTCATACACTTTATGTAATATATTTTTTATATTCATACTCTTTTTCTACATTTTTTTTATCTCTTATATGTTTTTAAGAATTTTAAGGCATTGAATTTGTTTATTTTAATTCTTGGAGTTACATTTGATGTTACATCTTCTTATGTACGAGTTGCGTCTTATTATGTGTGAGTTATATCTTATTATACGTGAGTTACATCTAATTATGCGTGAGTTAGACAAATAAAGCCCAAGAACCCTCCTTACACTTTCATTTCCACCATAATTTAAGCGAAAAAAGTCTTCTCAATATCCGTCAAAGACCTGACCCCCAGACCACCTTCAGCTGTGGGTAGACAAATGTCCTTCCACTTGATCCAAAGAAATTTATTCTTATTAGCAGTAGCACCTCACAAAAAATGAGTCATTTTCTTTTCAAGAATCTTAATAGTTGACTTTGGCAGATTGTCCACAGCTAAGATATGTAAAAGGGTAGTAGAAAGGACATGCTTTAAAAGAATCAATCTCCCCCCGATTTAAACTCTTTTGCTTCCAGGTAGATAATCTTTTATCAACAGCCTTAATAAATTAATTCCTTTATGCAGAGACGCACCCCGAATACCTCATAGGAAGGTTGCACTTGGTCATGCCCAACAGCCTTTCCAGCTTCCTGATTCTCGCAAAGGAGGTTTTCCCACATATGAAGCTACTTTTTTGAAAATTAATGGATTGACATGAGGCATTTTGATATAATTTAAGAAATCTAGTAAAACATAAGACGGATCTAGCCTCTCCATTAAGGAAGATAAGTACATCATCTTCAAAACATAATGTGAAACAGGAAATCCATCTTTCCCCGTCCAATAGGGCTTAATCTTTCCGACAGAAGTTAAGGTTTTGATCCCTCTAGAAAGTGCTTCATTAGCAATAATAAACAAGAAAGGAGATAATGGATCTCCTTGCTTGACACCTCTTTGAGGTTGAAAAAAGCCTTTAGAGACTCCATTAATAAGAAGAGAAAAGTGAGTAGTAGGGTGAGTAGCATTTAGATGTTCCATAACCAAATTAATCAAAGCCGAAGAAAAACCAAATTTAACCAGAGCTTCCTTGAGAAATTGTCGGGATAGCCTGTTAAATGCTTTGGCCATATCCAATTTAACCGCCAAATTGGTACCCTTTCCTTCTTATCAATAGAGTTGACCAGCATGGTTCCATTAAATGTATGCACTAGTCGTTTACCTCTTCACCCAGCTGAAACAAGCGTGAGATGATAGTCATTTTTAGGAATTTCACATTAATGTTCATTCCTTTTTCGGCAAGTTTCTCATATTAATGAAAAAATGAAGGGAAATAATTTTAATAATTTGGGATGCTTTCTTTCACACCTAGTTAGCTTTTTTCCGTTTTAAACGCGTTTTAAACACGTACCGTTTTTTTGAGTAAAAAAGCACGTTTAAAACAAAAAATAATGTCGGCCTGTTTAAAAAGGAAAAAAACTCCTACTTCTCGTATAAAACGTATTTTTCCCGTATTTTACAAAAAAAAAACAGAAACATGAATTGATCGATTGAACGAATGCATTAAATGCATAGGAGATCAACAATAGTGTAAAAGTAGAAATGAAAATGTCCTCCTCGTGATCTCATTTACAATTAATTGCTAAAATTATTAATTACTAAAATTAATTACTAAAATTAATTGCAATGCAATGAAAACACTTACAATACAATTATTAATTACTAAAATTAATTGCATGACAGTTAAAACGTAAAAGGACTAAAACTTAAAATAGAACTCTCTCCGCCCCTAATAGTTCTTTCATAGTACAAATGACACACAAATTAAGAAAATGAGTATTGTGCGGTGGAGAGTTGTGCATATGATACATAAATATGTAAGAAATGTTGTAAACAGCTAATTCTTTACCAAAAAAGAAAAATTGAAGTTCTTTTGGGGCGAATGAAAAAGGAAAGTTGAAAGTTCTTTCAGCGATGAAGAGTAGTAGATTTATGATGTTTTTTTTTTCAAACAAGCACATCAAAATTAAGTTTTTTCTATACATGACATTTTTTAGTATAAACTCTTACACAAACAATAATAAGCCTAGCAATCGCACAACTTTTTCCATATGTCATCTGTAATCTTGATGAAATTTGTGAGTTTAACTTGAGTGTTATTTGATGATAATAGAAAGATAATGATTTAACGTAGTCTCATTTCATTTTTATTAGGCCTTATTTTGTCAACGGTTGTGGTTGATCCCCGCCTCCTTGTCCTGGAGGCTCTCCAGTAGAATTATGAATTATTTATTTATGTAGTAATGGAATTTTCTACTTGATATGTGTATACTTTTATTTCTTTTTACTAAATATGTTATTTTGTATAAAGTATATAATATAAATGTTCAAAATAATGTCCGTATTTTTTGTCCGAATTTTTGTAACGGATAACGTATTATACACGTATACGTATTTACACGTTTTATAAAAGTCAACATTTTTTTCAATGAATTTTTGACCATTTTTTTCCACTTATGTTACCGAATAAAACGCGAACGTATTAAACCCCGTTTGATTCCCGTATATTTAACTAACTAGACGTTCACACCGGTGGATTAAACTTAACTTTTATGCCCGTGAGAAAATTATTGTTTTACCGAGTCCTCGTGAAGTTACCACAACGCGTTACCCTTTCCGTCTCACCAATGCCGTATAGCCACGTGTGCATGCATAGATCTCCCACCCGTCACGCTCTCACTCGCAACCGCCAACCTGATTTCCAAGTTACAATATTTACTCTTATTTATTGCCGCATTTTTTCAGTTTTCCCCAAACGCACCCTACCAAGTCTTTCCACCTCTACTCCTCGCCTTCCTCCGCCACGTCACCTCCACTCTCCGGAAAATTCGCCCGTCTCCGGCTCCAGTCCGTTTCCGCGCCCGCCGCCGCCTCCTCGCATCATCCGCATCTCTTCGTCACATTACACTCTGTTTCCCAGAAGCAACCATCAGTAAAAACGCGGGAGAATATTGTTGCGGGAGCTTATATATATTCAGAGTTTCTGCGATTCTGCTAATCTGATTCTCCGATTACTTGATTATCTTGTGATTATGCAACACTATGCATCCGTTTTGCTGCGTTTCCACCATTAACTGCAGCAACGGTGATTCGTCGATTTTGCCCATGTCCCGGCCTCCTCCTCCGCTACCACCGTCTTCCGCAGGCGGATCGTCCGAACCGTTTACGTTCTACGGAAGTCAAAATTACAACAAGAATCAAGCGCATCGACACAATTTGAATTCTGACTATCGGATTTTGACCGAGTCTTCGTCCACGAGGGAGGCTCCGCAGCTTGTGTGCGCTGGAGTGGTGGATAGCCAGCAGCAAGTGAAGATCAACGACATAGTGGGGAATGGAATTTCTGGAGTCCTGTACAAGTGGGTGAACTACGGCAAGGGGTGGAGGCCCAGGTGGTTTGTGTTGCAGGACGGAGTTTTGTCTTACTATAAGATCCACGGGCCTGATAAGATCGTCCTTACTCCCGAGACCGAGAAGGGCTCGAAAGTCATTGGCCAGGAGTCATTTCGTAGAATATCCCGATCAAAGAGGCATAACAATGCTAATGCTTCGCAGGCACGCAGACGTCCTGCGGGCGAAGTTCATCTCAAGGTTTAACTATTTTTTTGCTTTCTTGTTCTTGATTGCGTTTTGATGCAGGATTAAGTAGCGTTTAAAGTACATTGTCCGAAAGAAAGGAATGATCAAAGCTTGTAATTAACAAATTAGACCAAGAAATATCTGAATTAGTGGCTCTTTGACAATGTAGTTGATTGCGGGTCTGCGGGTTAATTTTTTATTATCCTTGCGAGACAAGCTAGGTTCTTTTCATCTGGTCACCTACAAGCCTATTTGGCATGCCATGCTAGTTATTTCTTTTTTTTTATATAAATTTATTTATTTATAGTTTTATTTTTCTCTGTTATTATCTTTGGTTGGTTTTTGCAATTTCAATTTTACCCAGCATGCATGGTGTAAACTATTCACTGTGTAGCCTCTTTAAAATCTGAGTAGTTTCTTATAGGTTTCATCAATATGTGAGAGCAGATCAGATGACAAAAGGTTTTCAATTTTCACTGGAACAAAGAGGCTGCACTTGAGGGCAGAGTCTAGAGAAGATAGAATAGCCTGGGTAGAAGCACTGCAAGCAGTAAAGGATATGTTCCCAAGACTTTCTAACAGTGAGTTAATGGCTCCTTTAGAGAACATTTCTGTTTCAACGGACAAGTTACGGAAGCGCCTGCAGGAAGCATGTTTAAGTGAAGCTGCCATCCAGGATAGCGAGCAGATTATGAGAGATGAATTTGCATCCCTGCATAGTCGAATGCTGCTTCTAAGACAGAAGCACCGGCTCCTCATTGACACACTTCGCCAGTTAGAGGTACCTAATATTACTATTGCAGTATTATTATTACTTATGGAACCAAACATCTTACTGATAAAATTTTAGGTTGTCCAAGGGATGCACATTATGTAGTTGGAAATGGTTGTAATGATTTTATTCCATGACCATTGGAGAAATCAACCGCTTTTGTTCAAGAAGGATAAGCTGGTAGCTGCTGTGTGCTGCTAACAGTTGTAGCCTTGTAGGATAAACCTTGAATGTTTGACTGAGGACACAGTCATGTTTTTACATTCGAGTTTCTACCTTATATTCTATAGGGACTTCTTTCTGTATATTGAAGTCAAAGGGTGCATAACATCTTTTATGCCTTTCACTGAAACTGTGTCGTAGAGAAGTGTTAAATTTTCTATTAACATTCCCATTTTCCAAGATGAACTCTATTTTATTTTAAGTTACTATGTAGTCCCACAGACATCTGTACCATTTTGGCTTCATGTGTAGCCTCACTTTTCTGCTCCTTTGAAGTTATTAGTTTTGAATAACTTTTGTTTACCTTCTGGAATTTGTCCATCTACAGAAACTCAGAAAGTATGTTGCTTTTGGCAATTTATTTCCCTTAGCTTGCTAATGTAGTGTTTTATGTCATGCTCTATAGACCGAAAAAGTTGACTTAGAGAATACAGTGGTTGACGAGAGTCAAAGGCAAATAGACAGTGTTGGTCTATCTGGTAGATTGAGGCAGGACAAATACAGCGGTATGCCTAAATCTCTATCTTAGTTTATGAACTCAATAAGACTCCCTTTTCTTTTTTCTTTTATAAAAATATGTGGGTTTCTTGACTTTGGGTGATATAATCTAGTTAAAGTTTATCCGCATTGCTAATATTAGATATATTTAAGATGTTTGTATTAAAAATCTCAACCAATCTTTATGCTTCTGGATATCAATTTCAGAGGCAAGTGTGAGTGACTCAGAAGATGATAATGAAAGGGCTGATGCTGCGGAGGAAGACACAGATGAGGAAGAGAATACATTCTTTGATACAAGGGATTTTTTGTCATCAAGTTCTTTTAAAAGCAATGCTTCTGATTTTCGACAATCCTCATTCTCTTCAGAAGATGACATCTATGCTTATGCATCAGATGAGAGTGTTGATCCGGTTATTAGATCTGCATCATCAAAGTTCCCTTATATCAAGCGCCGAAAGAAATTGCCAGATCCTATTGAGAAAGAAAAAGGAGTGAAGCTATGGTCCATGATTAAAGACAATATTGGGAAGGACTTGACAAAAGTTTGCCTGCCTGTCTATTTCAACGAACCACTGTCTTCACTTCAAAAGAGTTTTGAAGATTTGGAATATTCATATCTTGTTGATCGTGCTTTTGAATGGGGCAAGCAAGTAAGGAGATGAATTCCCGCTTTTCTTTTCATTATTGTTATTTTAAAATTCATTTGATATTGATATATATTTGCAGGTTGTAGCTCCTATATACTTTAACTTTGTGACATGGTGTTACCCAGTGCAGATTATTTATGTAAATCGATCCTAGTTTGCCATTTTGGGAAGATGCTTAGCTCCATTCATAGATAATAAGTGAACTGATCTTAGTTTTCTGCATTCAGCTAGGTTATTGAAATTAAATAGATGTTCATCTTTTTAAACGATACTTTTAAGTTTTTTGTGAGTCCGGGACAACCTTGTGCAGCTCAATATCCAAGGTTAATGTCCACATTGTTCCTGGCTTCGCGTCAATCCTCTTACATATCGTATGTAGAGGTCACTAAAGAATAAAATTGACTTATTATACCAATCCTACATTAGATCCATGTCTTTGACTTTGACCACTTTTGGTATATGATTATTGTTGCTTGCACTAATCTGGTCCTTTCCGAGTAAATTTCTGGTGTTTAAAGCTGCATGGGGCACTAGAAATCTACTCTTTAGAGTATTAAGAAGTGTAGCATATTTGGGCTGCGGATCCAAATTTCCAATAAAAAGTGGTGTTCCCGTGAAGTGCACTTTATATTTCAACTCAACCCTATACATACATATATATAGTAGAATAACTCTAGTCGTGTCTATGAATGTTCATTGTGTTCTGGTAGGGCTTTTCAGTACCTAAATATCTTATCATTTACTGGGATTTTTGGTAGGGTAACAGTCTTATGAGGATTTTGAACGTAGCTGCATTTGCTGTATCTGCCTATGCTTCTACACAAGGAAGAATTTGCAAGCCATTCAATCCATTATTAGGAGAAACATATGAGGCTGATTATCCAGACAAAGGTGTCCGTTTTTTCTCAGAGAAGGTAAGACTTTTATGACTGAGTAATGAAGGTTTTTACTTTTGTTTAATACTCTTCTGAGTTTATACATAACTTCATCCTTGTAATCCTAAATAATGAAAAGTTGCTCATTGACAGAAACAGCCATAAGGCCCATAACTTTTATACTCCCTGACTCCCTCCTTAATATAATGTTCCATTTACTTACGGAACTGTGTTTTGAGGGAATGTACTTTTTTGTGCATTTCCTTATATGTGCTAGGCGATGGGGTGTCAGTAAAGTGAGGGTGAAAAAGTGCATTTGGTAGAGAAGTTTTTTCCACTTTTAGAATGGGAAAATGTAAATGAGACATGAAAAAAGAAAGTGGGAGTGTGTGACATTACCATTGGGATGGAGGGTGTAAAATTTGAGCTATTTTTCGTAAGTGGATAACTAACCAGTCTTTTTAAATTTCTCATTAGAAGGTATTTGTTTCACAATTTTTGTAAGATTTCATTTTTTTGTCTAAATTGTGTATCCATCATGCTTCTATTTGGCCTTAGCTTATTTATTCTCTTTCCGTAGTCCACCATACATCTGAAACCATGCATTTCTCCAGCCTGATTAGTTTCCTTTGTCTAATTTTCATCCAAGTGGCATGCTTCTCACTCCGGCACTGCCGCACAGCAGTCTTTTAGCCAATACTGCTCGTTGTAACTGGCGGAACTAATTCCACAGGGCTACTAGAGTAACAAACTATATATGAAATCACTGTAATCATTTATTGCAATAAGCTTGAACGGTTAATTGTTAATAGAGTGTGTCCATCTAAACTGAGATTACGTGTTTCTATTGTACAAAAGGGTATATCTACTATGTGAGTTACGGGGTTACTGTGCCTTGATTTATGAGTTGTGAATTGTGATATTGGCCGTGTGAGCAGCAGGAAGGTACTTTTGAAATGGCTATCCCTGACGGGGGGTGGCACCATGAGACCATGCACTGTGGCATCACACATCACAGCGTGTCCATGCTTCGCACAATCGCACCACACCTACGACTCGTATCACAACCATGATGCTGCGTCCAAGAGATGCACCATGTGCATCTCTTGTACCATGTATATGTTTTATCCCGTCCAAGGCACATGCCTTATGCTACCGACAACCTGAGTAGCTAGGCCACATCCATGGGGACCTGCGCACCTCGTCCAGCCTCCTTTAATGTGCCCAGGCTGCGTACCCTCGACCCGGCCTCTATATGTTTTACTTATTAGTTGGACAATGTAACTGTTTCTCTTAGTGATGATTTTGTTTTGTTTAGGTAAGCCATCACCCCATGATTATAGCATGCCATTGTGAGGGTACAGGGTGGAAATTTTGGGGTGATAGCAATTTGAAAAGCAAATTTTGGGGTCGCTCAATACAGCTGGATCCTGAAGGTGTTTTAACCCTAGAGTTTGATGATGGGGAAATTTTCCAGTGGAACAAGGTAATTTCAGATGGTTGATTTTGAACTTCAGTCTTTTGTTGGATTCAATGTTGTGACATATGATCAACCCTGTTACAGGTAACAACATCCATATATAATCTGATACTGGGGAAACTATATTGTGATCACTACGGAACTATGCGTATCCACGGAAATCGTAACTACTCTTGTAAATTGAAATTCAAGGAGCAATCTATTGTAGATCGTAATCCCCACCAGGTTTGTTTTCTTTCTCTGTTTGCATTTCTCCCTAATTAAGTTTAAGGAGCAGTCTATGGTTGAGCTATGGTGTTTACTTTTATGTAAAAGTCGCTAATGCTTACTTTTTTTGTTAGTTTTGCTTGTGATCATCAGTATGGGTTTAGAGAGATGAGACTTATGTGATCATCAGAATGTAAAAACTGAAGTTGAGTGCTTGAATATGTTTCACTGAACGCAGGTACATGGAATTGTCCAAGATAAGAGCGGGAAGACAGTTGCTACTTTATTCGGTAAATGGGATGAGAGTATGTTCTATGATAATGGAGATAGCTCTAAAGGATATTCGAAGGACTCTGTTTCAGAGGCTCATTTGCTTTGGAAGCGGAGCAAGCCTCCTCAGTACCCGACCAGATATAATCTAACACGCTTTGCCATTACTATGAATGAGCTAACAATGGGACTCAAGGTATATTATTACTTCTTATTGTGGTAATTTCTCCAATATATGTGATATATTTGCTCTGCTGAGTTCTTTTGTTTCTTTTCATAGGTCACTTATACCATCTAGTTGCATAAGGATTATTTTGAATTTCATATGATTTGACTCCTTCATGATATGCTATACTTGGTTCCTTCTATGAGGCTATTGTAAACATTTGTGTAAATGTATAAATACCTGTTATGCTCATACATCAAGCTCCCTGCCTGGGGGTCCAGTAAAACTACTTTTGACCAGTTTTTGGTACACTAAGATTTGATCTTTCTGAAAATTAATCATCAAGACGTGATATCTCTTTCTGGATACTTTATAATAATTCATGCTTTCGAACTTCTGGATTTATAGTTTAGACATGAGCTGAAAAACTTGAAGTAATAGAGCACTTGTTCAGCCCTGTCCACTCACTGCTCAGTAACTATATGGATTGTTCTGTCTTGTGTCTCTTATTTTTAACTTTCGTAAACTTGAAAGTTGCTTCCCATATGTATTACTGAAGCAAGTTCTTTGGTTGCCAGGAAAAGTTGCCACCAACAGACTCTCGGCTGAGGCCTGATCAGAGATGCTTGGAAAATGGAGAGTATGAGAAGGCAAACTTGGAAAAACAGCGACTGGAGCAGCAGCAACGGCAGGTAAAACTTTACTGGTGAATGATTTAGAGTGTATGCATTGATAAGGATTCCTGTTAACTGTCATAAGCAGCCGATTTTTACTTTTGAATTTTACTTTTGCTTGTGTGTATATGGCTCTCATTTGTCCTTTGGTTTAATGTTGGGAAATATATTCTCTCTAATTTAGAATAATAACTGCATTTGTCAAAGTCTTCAGTTCTTCACCACTTAGATAGTTAGATCTAAATATTGCTCCTATTTCACACAAACAAACAAAAAACTCATACAAATATATAATTATATTTAGATTATACACAGAGGCGCACTAAAAGAGCCGCCTATATGTATTTTTATCATATATGCATGAATAGTAGTTTTCTACTAATCTCATCATGGAGAACAGTGGTGTAATACTAAAAGGCTTGTATAATTTCCAAATGATTCTAAAACTTGAATATGCTCATTGACTCATTGTTCCCGCTCTGCCCTCTGCTATAATTTTAGTTGAAGATTATTGTATGAAGAAACATGAATTTATAATGCTATAAGTGATACATGATTTCTTCTTCTGATTTTTTGGAGTATGTTTGGAGTTCATTTTCAGAGTAGTTTGGAGGAGAAATTGTAGGGTTATTTTTCATTAAAAATATTGCTTTAACTTATATTTGCAGAATAAAACAGAAACTAGTAAATTGTTATTTTATTTTAACCATTTTATTACCATAATCCATATATAGTACTATCTGAAACCCACCAAAACCACCACTCAAATATAGTTTTGGGTTTCCTATATGCATATTCTAGGAGGAAACAAGTTCTCAAATTTTCTTCAGCCTCAAAGCGTTAGGATAATCATTCAATTTATTATAGAGGACATGTTTTGCAAAGGAGAGTCGATATGGTTCTATTTTCTCAAACTTCTCTGCCCCTTCTGATTTAAGTAAATCTGTCGTATTTTTTAATAATAATTTGGCAAATCAGTGTCTAGCTAGTGAATAGAGCACCAAATTTGTATTGATAAATCATTAGCGCAGAATGTGCCAGTTACAATGTTGAACATTCTTTGAATATATGGTCTGCAGGCCCGTAGAATGCAAGAAAGCGGCTGGATGCCACGATGGTTTTCTAGGGAGAATGAGAGCGGTACGTATCGCTACAATGGTGGTTACTGGGAAGCAAGGGATCAAGGTCACTGGGATTCTTGTCCAGATATCTTTGGTCAAATTCCGTCTGACCAGACACTGGATTGATCAAGGTCAAGCCTTTCCATTTTGCCTCTTTCTTTTCCCTCCATTTTTTCCCTAAACGGGTATAAACGGTCTCTTCTAGATCTGCACAGATTACAGGGAGTGAACTGTCAAAGATAGTAAATAAGGGGTTTTCTTTCACTTGTACATTGCTAACTTCAACCCCCGTTGGGGCTTGTTCATGCATCTATGCCCTTGTAACAGTGGGTAAAACTTGAGCGAAGTTGTATTGTTTAGCATTTTTGGGAAAGATTTAGATACAGAGAGAGGGCTTCTCTAGTCTTATAAATATAAAAATCCATTTTTTCTCTAGCTACTTTGTTGTTTTTCCATTTTTTATCTTCTCCTTAATCTCACCACATTTGACACTTTTAAGAGGTTTGTTACTTTTTCATACCAATCAAGGCCAAACCTGTTGCAAGATATGAGGCTCTATCTGCTGGCACAGTGGCACAATGGGTTGATACTAAAGATTACTATGTCTCGAATATTGCCAGGGTGTTTTTTAAATCTGAAGTTAAATTTAGTACTAACATGAAATGAAAGGCTAAAAATGTAAAATCATGCTAATGAGATATTGTTTTTGTTGCAACCACTTTTTAAATAAATAAATTAAGGTCAAATTTGTGGCATAAGAAGTCTATAATGAATGGCTCGGGATGCAACAAAAAATAATACGGAGTAAAATATTAGCCTTTCAATTATTAATTGTTTTAGTTTAGGCCCACATCAGCCCTACATATAAAAGAGGCTATTGCCACATTAAATAATATAATTGGATTTGGACTACTTGAGCTTATATTGAATGAATTGAATGTGCATACAAGACAAACATATGGTCCATAAGCCTAGTATAAAATGTGTTAAATAATTGATGGATCAACCTTTTCGAATCCCTACATTTACTTTTATTTTATTTTTAAATGAATGGTTAATATGCATTAAAGGCCAAAAGTCCTAACACAGCGCAGCGGCATCCCTACATTTAAATGACATTCAATTGAGACTGTTGTTGCATCAAGCCATTGAATAATTGAACTTGGAATGAACTTATTGCACCTGAGATTGCATCCATCTACTGGAAAACAATGTTACACTTTTCAACCGGATTGAGGTTGAAATCATCGTGCTTTTTACTGGATTCCAAGTACATTGTGATTTAGAAATGAGAATAGCTATGTCAAGAATTGGAATTGAGATCACCTGAAAACATATTGCCGTTGAACAAGCGGTCAAGACTCGAGAGTGCCCGACAGGGTTCCTGGCCTCGCCCAGCTACATTGGGCATTGCTTAGACGCCGACTAGGCACTCATATAGCGCCTATGATATTATTATTTTCAAACATGTCGATCCAAACTGCCATGTTTGCATTTTCTTTCTTACTATTTTCCATCTTATCCGTGCTTCATTTTCATTTCTTTGTACTTTTATCTAACTTTTTGTGTCTTTTTGCTCTTTTTAAATGCTAATCACACAGGTTACATCTCTTCCCTTTGCTTAAATTTTGAAGTCAAATCAAATAGAAATGGATATTAGAGTCTGAGTTAATGTGATCAATTAGTTTATCATGTATTATATTTCATAATATACGTTTATACACTATATTATGTTCAAATATTGCACATTTGCACCGAGTACTTGTCGTGTTGGTGAGGCTGTGTTGCCACACGTGAATTCACCCCATCCTTATCGTATTTTCGAACTGAAAATGGCTACGAACTAATGGACAAAACAAAAAGGCTCTACTCTGGTTAATAATACTTTGAACTTGCCTTAGGTTATGTCAAAACATGAGAGTAGTTTGATTCGATCTGAACAACAAATAAAAGTCTTGTCCTCAACTATGCATGCGATTTTTTTAAAAATTATAGATTTGTGGCAGATGTTTCATAAAATTAACAAAGGTAAATAAAAGTTTCCTTTCATGCTTAGTATAAAAAATTGATCTTTCATTTTATTGGGTGTCTTTTCTATTGTTTCCTTCAGTGTTCTTTCATGTGCTACATTGGTTCATCATCTCGTAACTGAAAATAGACTAATTGTATGTTGAAATCCAAATGTATCAGAGCCATTGTACATTTACTAAGACAAATGAGTACTCTCCAATGTCTATAATGAAGGAAATTGAGAACATTTTTTCAAGTTTATAATTAAGGATCATAGTACCTATTTATTTATTGTATAATAAGAAAGGTTACATATAGTAAGAGGGCATAATGCCGGAGCCTACTCAAGTTTAGAGATGAATATGATCAACATAAAAGGGGTACTTTATCAAAATATGAGTAAAGCAACGTGGAATTCAAAATATATACTATCACTATCACACTATGTATTTTTGTGATCCCAAATCATATTGTCATATTTTTGTATAATCAAGCAACAATATGATTGTACTAATATAGTAATATCATGATGTGTAGCATTTTTAAGTTAGCATAATAATTTCACATCATTTTTATTCTTATTTCGAGTAATCTCTAATACTATGATAAAAAAGCACGAATTTGAAAAAAGTGGAACACACATAAAATAGTAAAAAAAAAAAACATCACCAATTACATAGACAATTGGGTGTATGGCCATGTGACCATGTCATTTGATCGAAACCCAAGTATGAAGTGCCCAAATCATCACAATAATGTAAATATATGCAATAAATATATTGATTGGTATATTTGACGCACGTATAATGAAAATCTGATTCAAGTGCCCAAATATTGATATTAGTAAAACTTTACATGTCATAGCCATAAATAAACCCTTATTGTTAGGTTCCATGGTATATTTATATAAATATGTAGCAAGCAGCACTTGACAAAACATACAAATGGTAGGATCAGGCATCTTTAATGATATCATTCCATATCAATCAATTTAGACGGATCTCTATTCTCTTCATGTACTTCTTTCTGTTTTGCAAAATGATCCAGTTTATATTACTCTCTTCTTCATGATTAGTTTACAAATTAAAGCCGGCTAAGAGTAGCTAGCTAGATAATTGGCAAACTCAAACTTAACGCTTGAGGCTATACGTTTTTATAGCTGCCTCATAATTGGCAGTAGTTTTCCTAGCGTTCGGTTTCGTAGCTTGTGGCCGGCTTAATTGTGATCTTAGGCACGCTCTTAGCTAGCTTATATATAATGTCTCAAAGGAAAATTGTTAGTGTACATGACTTGTACACAAATTGTACACAAAACTCCCCTAGTTGCCTGTGCACATGCAATTCGTATAAAAAGGGACTTAACTTCATGTCAAATTGTCTGTGTACACAGGCAATGTTCACGTTTTGTGTACAACTTGTGTACAGCAAGAATGGTCCATGTCTCAAAACCACTCTTGCTTTTACTTTTCTTGAATGACGCTATTTGATTTTTTTTAGTATCATCTTTTTCGTACTCTAGGAGCCTGTTTGGTAGCACGAAAATCGGTTGATTTGACAGATTATGCTTAACTTTATGAAGTTTTGGCTAAAGTGACTGCATTGACTGATTATGCTGGTTTGAAAAAAAAAAAATTTAAAATATATTTTATTAGAAAAAAAGAAAAAGTTATATGTACAAATAGCTCAAATGATCATTTACAATAACTTCAATCAATACATCCAAAAAAAGTAACTTCAAACTTACTTTTTCTGTTTATTACACAATTCAGCGCGAGAAAGCAAAAGTTACATGCTGGTGAAAAAGTTGGCTGATAAGCCGGCAAACAGTGTTGCTAAACGGCCTCTAGATTTATTTTTGTGGCTCTGTATAACTTTCAATTACTCCGTATTATTTTTTCAAATAAACGATGTCGAGTTTCGCATCAATGAAGGATGTTCTCCGAGATTAAAAACCATTTGTGATTTTCTCTCTTCTTTGCATATTGTGCTGATTTAGAGCCTGTTTTGTAGCACGAAAATTGGCTGATTTGGCTGATTCTGCTAAAATTTATGAAGTTCTGGCTGCAGTGGCTACAGTGGTTGATTCTGCTGATTTAAGAAAAAAGTATTTTTAAAATATATTTTATTAATAAGACAAAGAAAAAATTATATGTAAAAATAGCTAAAATGATCATCTACAGTAACTTCAGTCAATACAGCCAGAAAAGTAACTCAAACCTTACTTTTTCTGCTTATTACACAATTCAGTGCGCGAAAGCAAAAGTTACATGTCTGGTGAAAAAGTTGACCGATAAGCCTGATAAGTCGAAAAGTTATGTTGCCAAACGGCCTCTTAATTAGTTACTACGTAGTAATACTTTTTATTCACAATGTCTAAATCTATTACACTGTGACTACTCTATATAAAGTAGCTAAAAAACTAACACACCGAGGAGAAAGATAGAAAATGCACATTTTTGTTTCATGTGTCTATATCTTTCATGCTATTATGCACCATTTATGTTTTATAAGGAGCATTACAAATGCTCCTATAGTCCTATTTGAGGTATACAATCTAGTCGATCTTGGTTGCAATAAAAAAAAAAAAAAAAAAAAAAAAAATCTAGTCGATCTTCAATCATATACTCCGTATCCCTTTGTTGCAAAATTAGTTTCTAGATTTTACACATGAAGTCAAACAAGGTTGAATTGGTGTTTGACCATTATTATTTGAATTTATGTTTATAAATTTATACTCCGTAATAATTTAATATTTTGTAAATATATGGTAAACAATATTCAACAGTATTTTCATATTATGAATTAATATACTACCTCCGTTCCGGTGGACTTTACTAAGTGCAAAGTACGTGATAAATAAGAATAGAAAAAACGGTGTGGTTGAGATTTGTGCAGAGGAGAGAGAAATGTGCAGAACCACAAATTAATTGTTTTAATAAGGAAGTGACAAAGTTTTTGGGGACAAAAAAGGAAAAGTTGGCAAAATCCAATGGGACGGAGGGAGTAATATTTAAATAATTAAGCGTCAAAATAAAAATGATACCGAGTATCTGACCTCAAAAGATAAATTGAGAAGCTAATTATATAGTGGAAGTAGTATAAGAGCCCGTTTCATGATCATTTTTCGGCTTATCACACTTATTAGCCAGCTTTTTCACCAAACACGTCACCAAACACGTAACTTTTGATTTCGCAAGTTGAATTTTGTACTAAGAAAAAAAAATAAGGTTGAAATTACTTTTTTTGGTTATTTTGGCTGAAGTTACTCTAGAGGATGGTTTTAGCTATTTTCATATATTTTTTTATTTAATTTATTAATAACAATTATTTTGAATATAATTTTTTCTTGAATCACGCCAATACAGCCACTTCAGCCAGAATTTCATAAATTTCAGCACAATCAGCCAATTCAGCCAATTTTAATGTTACCAAATCGACTCTAAATCTATTTAATGATTTTTGGGAAAATGGAAACTAATAATCCAACCTTTTAGCGGTTTTCTTACAATAGTTCCACCTTTTCGTTATTCATGAATAATCCAACCTTTGCACCTCATCTTCATTCACTGGTCCCCGACCAGTTGATAACCTGTTATTTCAAGTTATTTTCTTATCTTTGCATACAATTATAACATAAATCTCACTTTTTACAAAGATAATATTTTGCAAAAATAAGGAAATAACTTGGAATAGCAGGTCATTAACTGGTCAAGAAACAATGAATGAAGATGAGGTGAAAAGGTTGAATTATTCATGAATAACGAAAATGTGAGACTATTATAAGAAGACCGCTAAAAAGTTGGATTATTAGTTTCCATTTCCCCGTGATTTTTTTGTGAAACAATGTCATTGTTTATACCGGAGTTCGGGTATAAACAAAATATGTACGGAGGACAATAGTATTTGATATTCCTCATATTCGTCTTATGTCAAGCTATTTACCTACTTCGTATAATGTTTACAACACTATAGAGTTCTAGAATTGAAATGCAATTCGATTAGTTTATCACATTTTTCATTATAAAACAGAATAATAAGTTATAGGGAGTATGTGTGTTGGATTTCAAATTTGTTTACTTCATTTATACTAGCTTGCTTCATTTATCAGATGGTCAAAACTGAAAGTGTGGCTCTTCAGAGCTTGGTCGAGATCAATCATTGCAAGGAAGACCAAATGGCGAATTTCAAAGTAAAACGCGATGGTCATGGATCAAGGATAGCTACGAGCTAGCATGCTAGGCTAGAATCATTTTTTGTTAAAAATATATTTAGCATTTGACATTTAGCGTTAATGGTTAGTGGAGTACATTAACAAGTTGTTAATTGTAGATTTAATGAGCAAGTTTGATTACCAAATAAACCAGTGAGTTGCAAAAATGTGTTCGGTATTTTAATTTGCTGTTTGGACGAAACAATTACGTAGTAGTATGTAATGCCTTATTTCAAAACACTAATCAAAATAGTGTTATTTGTGTTGTTTTTAACAAGTAAAAAACAATTAAAAATGATCAAACCACTATGGCACTATTCTTTTTGCTGAAACGCCATATTTCAAGCACCTCATTATATCAATAATTCAATACTTCTATAATCTTGTTATTGATGTGAATGAGAGACGATCAAGGGAGGGATTCTTTTTTTTTTATCATCGAACGGGCATTCATTCATAAAAAGCACTTAGAAAGGGGTTGAAATAACAAAAGGATCACATGTAACCATCCACCCGTGGACGAGACTTTGAGCTAATCACTTTTGACAAAGCAATATAACTCGCTAATCCTAACTTGGGCATATTCAAAATCACGACGATTACACAATCCTCTCATCCCCCAATCCAAGTGCAAAAGTCTTACAGCATAAAATAAATAAGCAACAAAACACAATCGATATAAAATAAAAACAAAACACAATCGACTCAGCAGAAATAGAAATACTCGTCCAAACCCTAGTCGCAGAATTCCTCCAAGGCGGCGGTTCTGGAGGTGGATGGATCAACATCCTTTCGTCTTCTTTCACACATAGGCCACCAATGAACCCCTGAAATTTGATTTTCCAGTCCGACAGCACGATGTCGACCACCAGAACCTCCATGCTTTCACCAATAGCAATCTGTTTCGTCAAAACTCGTTCCCAAACTGCTGAAGAATAACAGCTCGGCTTCGTCTTCAACATTCTGCAGCACCCTATCTTCCCCTTGCTAAACACGTCCCCTGCCAAAATCAGAAGCCTCGAACCCTCCTGAAAGCTTCCTTGCTTGTTCACAGCTCTTGTAAAGCAGAAAAAATAAAAGCTTCGTTCAAACCAAATCAAGATTCACCACAATTGCAAGCCAGAAAGAAAACAAAAACAAAACAAAACAAACCCCGCGATGACAACAGAACTCAATACCCTGAGAGGATATATGAGATTAGCTGCCTACCGGGGAGAGATCGACCGAACCCACGACCTGAGATTAACTTCTCTTTTCTTTAGAAAGACCTTAAAAGACTTTAGTTGTATGTTTGGCATGACATTTTTTATGAGCTTTTCAAAAATTAAAAGATCTTTTTTGAGATGCTACTGGGTGTAGCATCTGAGAAAAGCTCGTGACTTTTAGTATTAATTAGTCTTAACAGCTTGTACACCAAACCGAACTAAATCAAACAGTCAGCTTTTTACCAAACAGCTATCACCTTTTCTTTTTAAGATCTTTTCAGTCACTAAAAGCTAACAGTTACTAAAAATGTCACAAAAGTATCTTTTCAGCTAGTTGTGCTAAACATGCCCTAATAGTGACTAGTGAGTATCAATTTTTCCTATTTTTTCATATAAAAGCCCCCCCCTCCTTAATTTCGCCACCATCCTTTTCAATTTTTTGCTTTATTTTTCATTTTCTTTGTGTACACTGTACTAATTTCTTCACTTTTCTCGTATATATTGGCTTTTCTCTATCTTTGTCTCCCTGCTTTTACTTTGGCAGTCGGATATTGCAAGGAAGAAGAAGGGAAAGCACTGTCGGGATGCTACTCGTCCTGAAAATTATTGGGCTCTGCGGCGCATTCCCGTCTCAGTTTCCGGCGATTGATTGAAATTTCCGCCACCATTTCCGCCGTCGCACACCATAAGCTCTGCCGCTGCATCCGCTTTACTAAATGCCTCACGATTTGTTGTTTTCCAACTCGATGATGCTAAGAGTTCATGAAACGCCCATCTCGAAAAAGGAGAAGTTGGAAGAGAAAAGAGAGGACGATCGGGAGACGGAGGGAGGGAAGGGGTTTGAAGTCACCACCACGACGCCGAGGTCTGTTATAATCATCCCCAGGATCAAATCTCATAGCACCAGTCGTAGAGTCACTCCCACCACTGCATCCGCGGTGGTTGAGAAACGCCTTTCCAACGGCGATCTGTACACCGGGAACTTCTCAGTCAACGCGCCTCACGGATCTGGGAAGTACCTGTGGGCTGATGGGTGCATGTATGAAGGGGAGTGGAAGCGAGGGAAAGCCTCCGGGAAGGGGAAGCTGTCCTGGCCGTCCGGAGCTACCTACCAGGGCGAGTTCAGGTCTGGTCGGATGGAAGGAAAGGGCACATTCATTGGGTCGGATGGTGATATGTACAAAGGCTCGTGGCTAGCTGATCGTAAACACGGCTATGGGCAGAAGCGTTACTGTAATGGAGACTACTACGAAGGGCATTGGAAGAGGAACCTTCAGGATGGGCAAGGAAGGTATGTGTGGAAGGACGGAAATGAGTATGTAGGGGAGTGGAGGAATGGGACATTTCATGGAAGGGGCGTCTTGATTTGGGCTAATCAGAATCGGTTTGATGGGAGTTGGGAGGATGGTGTTCCCAAAGGCAATGGGGTTTTCACTTGGCCTGACGGCAGCTGCTACATTGGCTACTGGTCTCAAGATGAAAAAAATCAACAGCACGCTCAAGTCTTGAATGGGATTCTTTATCCTGCACGAATAAAAAACAAAACAAGTTCCAGTGATTCCCAAAATGATATCTGCAAGTTTAATTTTAAAGATGAAGGATTCGATACATTCTTCAAGCATAAGTTATTGAGTTCTCCATTAAAGGAGGATGAGAAGTATGGATTGGCAGTGACAGGTGGGGAGATGAAATCATCTCTGGACGGAAGGGAAAGCTTGGAAGGGAGAAGTTTCCCCAGGATTTGCATCTGGGAATCTGATGGCGAGGCAGGGGATATAATTTGTGATATTGTAGACACAATGGAACCCTCTACTTTATACCAGGATGGGATCAGACAGTTTAGGAGAAATCCTTGTTCTTTCAACGGGGAAGGGAAGAAGCCAGGACAGACAATATCAAAGGGCCATAAGGACTACGATTTGATGCTCAATCTTCAATTGGGCATTAGGTATGCTTTTAGCTGGTCGTTTTTGAGTTTTTGTAAATATTAAAAGCTTTTCTGGTATTTTTTTTCTTAGAGAATGGTGTTGAATTCTTGCAGTTATTCTGTTGGAAAGCATGCTCCTGTATTGAGAGACCTTAAGCCGAGTGATTTTGATCCAATGGAGAAGTACTGGACTAGTTTTCCACCACAAGGGTCTAAAGTCACGCCCCCTCATCTATCTGTAGACTTCCGGTGGAAGGACTATTGTCCAATTGTCTTTAGGTATTCATTTATTGTGTGAATGGTTGATTTTTTTCTATGCTGATTAAAATTCTCAAACCTCTATCAGCAAAATTATTATTTGCTCATTCACAATATTGTAATTGATAATAATTCGATGCCATAAATCAATTGGTTGTCCCCCCAATAAAGAGTCTTTTTGTTAATTGGTCTGTTGGATATTGTATAGGCGTTTGCGGGAGCAATTCCAAGTAGACTCTGCAGATTACATGATGTCTGTTTGCGGAGATGGTGCACTGAGAGAGCTTTCCTCTCCAGGAAAGAGTGGAAGTTGTTTTTACCTGACACAGGATGATAGATTTATGATCAAAACTGTGAGGAGATCAGAAGTCAAGGTTTGTTCCCTAAGATGTCTTCTGGACATATTTTTCTTTATATTTGAACTTTCTTACCCTCTGACAATAATCAAACAATGGCCAATTTGTGGGACTGAAAATGTTAGTGCTTTGCATCAGGTTCTTCTTAAGATGTTGCCAAGTTATTATCAACATGTCTGTCGGTATGAAAATTCTCTTGTGACAAAATTCTATGGTGTGCATTGTGTGAAACCAGCAGGCGGCATGAAGGTATGTGGTCAATAGAACTGAATGCCTTTCTCTCAATGCTGCAAATGTAGATTTGTCTAATTTATGTTGTTATGTATTTGTTATAGACGCGGTTTATTGTGATGGGTAATTTGTTCTGCTCGGAATACCGAATTCACAGGCGTTTTGACCTTAAAGGTTCCTCTCATGGCCGCCGCACAACAAATAAACCCGAGGAGGAGGTTGATGAAACTGCTACCCTAAAAGACCTTGACCTTAATTTTGTTTTTCGACTTCAGCGGAACTGGTACCTTGAACTGATCAAGTTAGTACGAGCCTTATTCCTTTTCAGCTTACAGTCTCTAATCCCTATGTGTTTTTTTTGCATATTTATAATTTGGTGGTTCATCTTACAGACAAATTGATCTGGATTGCGAGTTTTTGGAATCAGAGAGAATCATGGATTATAGTTTTCTGGTTGGTCTCCACTTCCGGGATGATAATACTGGTGACAAAATGGGGTTGTCACCTTTCCTCTTGCGAACAGGTTAGTATTTTAAGTTGTTACAATGAGTTTTATTGTATGTAGCTTTTAAAAAACTTGTGGCGCACAAAAGGGACTAAGTGCATGTGTTTGATTTTCAGGGAAAAGTGATTCATATCAAAATGAAAAGTTTATGCGTGGCTGCCGATTCCTTGAAGCAGAGCTACAAGACATGGATCGAGTTATAGCTGGCCGGTATGTCGCATCTACCTATTGCAAATAAATTGAATTAAGTTGCTTAATAATATTTTCTTTCTGAAAGCCAAACAATTATGTGCTTGGATAGTTAGATATGAACTGTGCCTCTGTGCTTAAATCTAATTATTTGAAGATGACATCTAGCCATGGTTATGAATTTCCTCTTTCTTGTTTTTTCACTTTATTGAATCATCATAATAAAATTCCAGAAGTGCATTGTAGATTCGTCCTAGTTATTATTCATGATCTCTCTCTTACAAATTATTTGTTTCCATTGAACTTGAGCGAGACTTCACATGGCTTAGTATATTGACATGACAAAAGCTTCTTATTTTAGCCTTTTCCTAACAAACTTTACCATCTTTAATGTATATACATGTACATGCAATGCAGTACTCCCTCTGCCCTCTTGTATGATATTTGGTAATATTTGTATACTTCGAACACATTGCTACTTTACAAATTCAATATCAATTACACAATATCACACACCCTGTGACATTTCCTCATGCCCCAAACATAGTGGGACAGAGGTAGTATATACATAAATCAATATAGAAATGCACAACTTTGTTTATGTTTGTTTGTTATACATACGTGCATGTATATGTGTGTGATTTTTTGGGCTACTAACATGTAATTGCTGACTGAACTGAAGTCCCCGGATTAAATGCAACATATGGTTTTTGTTCAGTTTTCAATAATTGAACCCTCTATATGTTATTTATCAGGAAGCCGTTGATACATTTAGGCGCAAACATGCCTGCAAGAGCAGAGCGAGTTGCGCGACGTAGTGATTTTGATCAGTACATCCCTGGTCGGTCTTATCTTCCGCCGCCGCCCTCTCGGAACATTGAAACCTACGAAGTAGTCCTTTACTTTGGGATAATTGACATCTTACAAGACTACGATATCAGCAAGAAGCTGGAGCATGTTTACAAATCCTTTCAGGTTGATCCCGCTTCAATATCAGCCGTTGACCCAAAGTTGTACTCAAGGCGGTTTCGGGATTTCATCGGAAGAATTTTCGTTGAAGACAGCAGGTGACTGGTCGAAGAGATGAACACGTTTAATCAATGATAACTGTTTCATTGATGACTTTAACCCCACGCCACATCACTACTGGTTGGTGCAGCTGGTCAGATTACCTGCCAGAGTGTGGCATTTGGATGGGTTGGCAGTGTCTTTTTGGGGGTACCCAATGTGTTGCCAAAATTTGCCAACCAGCCAGGGTTGTGGAAAGTAGGTTACCTGTACATTGATTGGCATGGAGAAGAAATGGAAGTAGTGGAAAATTGGTTTGAGAGAACATACATGGTGGGGGGACAAACCCAAGAGAATTCCCAACAAAAAGAAGAAAAAAGGATCAAGTGCATTGAATTAAATAACATTGAGTATTATTGTACAGCATTTAGGTATGTTGAATATGTTTTCAACTCCACTTTTTTTCATCTTTTTTTGGTGTGTGTTTGATAACTGATGTAAAATGCATACATTCACATTGCTTTATTTTGGGAGTAGCATGGGTTGAGAGGGATTGATTGACACTGGTGGTTGGGATGAGAGCTTTGTGTACATGAAAAGTAGAGAAAGCTGAGATAAAGATATGTTGGACCTCGCTTATTTCTCATCTCCTACTCACTCTGTTTTCTCTTTTACTTTTTTACATCTTTCCTCCTAAAATTTTCTTTTCACTTTGATTTAAGACTTATTCACTATCAATCATACTCCGTATAATTATTTCATTCATATAAAATGTGAACAAAAATTAAGGCTTGTGAAGTAAATTTAAAATAGATCAAGTATGTGACCATTCTTTTTTACTGTGAAGGGCAGAAGAGGTGTTATGTTTGATGAATTGTCTTACTTTTTGTGATCAATGAAGTTTTTTTATTGGATTTGTTTCAGTTCTAAATATCTAATTAGATTTAAACAAATTAGATCAGTTCAAATTAGATTAGACCAGATTTTAACTATTGTAAAACCCAAATTAAAAAAATCTATCAAACCACTTCATATCAGATTTAAAAAAATGAAACCATATTAGATGAAACTTAAATAAATTAGATTATACGTAGTACGGAGTATTAAACTAGACTTTAACATTCCAAGGATAGCATACAGTTTCCCATAAAAAACAAAGAGTTCAAATGATTTGATAAAAAGACAACAAGTTCCATTCTTAAAAATACCCCCACCGGCCACCCCTCCCCAGTCCCCAGTCCCCACCCCTCCCCCAAACATCGCAGACCATTGACTCCAGGTTTTAGACTTTAGACGTTTGGTCCCCTCCCGTGATCCCGTCGCTATATCCTAAGGGTCTAAGGCCAACTTCCTGAACCGTTTTTTGAAACCTTTCAAATATTAATTGAGAAAAGGGATAAATAAGACCACGTACTAATAAAAAAAGGTCAAATAAGGCCTTATTTAATAGGCTCTGTTCGGTCATCGCCATTTGGGGTGGTTCCCGGTGGAATTTTTTGAGTATCTTATTCAGTAAGTCTAGTTTATTCATTCCGAATTTCAGCTAAAAATTCAATCGGAAAGCTATTCAAATGAATTCTCTAAGATAACTGCGCTGTTAAAAACACAGTTATCTTCAAGAATTCATTTGAATACCTTCCCGATTGAATTGTTAGCTGAAATTTGGTATGAATAAAGTAGACTTAATGAATAAGATGGTAATAAAATTTCATCAAAAAATTCCTCCGAGAACCACCCCAAATGGCGAAGGCCGGACAAAGCCTCATAAATAAAGCCTTATTTGACCTTTTTTGGTTATTGCGTGGCCTTATTTGCCCCTTCTCCCAATATTAATTCTATTTCTATCAGAATGATAATAATGCACTCTGTCTCTCCTACTCCGTATTATTTGGAGAGTAACACTCATAATTAAGTATAGTTATGTGATTGATATCATCACAAATATTATACATGCCCCTATGCTATGGGATAAGTTTGCGAAGGGTTATGAAAGTGATAGATTAGAAAATCGAGTGAACGGATCAAATAGGCTTCGATCCTATAATTCAGTCGCTGAATTAAAAAATGTTCAATTCACTCTCCGAACCGGCAAAAGAGGGTTAAAGTTTGATTTTCTTAAGGTTAAACAATCAGTAAAAAAGGTCCAATTTGCATCCCTAAACTATTAAACAATGTCAAAATTGCAATAAATCGAAAATAAAAAACAAAAACAATAAAAAATTTAAATAAATGACCGGTTGTTCACCCGTAGCGAATGAAATTTGAACCATTTTTTGTTGGTTCGGGATGTGAATTGAATCTTTTTTTAGTTTAAGGACTGAATTGAGCTTACACGATTGGTACAAGGGCCTATTTGACCCTTTAGCCATTCATTATTTAGCATTATCATTGTTTGTTATAATATAATGCAAATGTTAGTAATTGATTATGAAAAAATTAATCAACTTTATACTCCGTACAATTTATAATCTTTTAAAGAAATCATCGGAATCAAATGATATAGGAATCCAGATTTGGCCTCATCTTCATCAGTGTTTTAATGGACTCATCATCGTGACGACCTACCTCTCTATCTAGGGTTGTCGCAAGGTAATCGCTAGCTTGGATTTGTCCGCTATCGGCCTTTGCCGAGGAGCGGGGCTAGGTTTTTCCGACGAATTGTTGGAATTGGAGAGTCTTCTCTGTAGCAGTCATCTTCCTACGAGTTAGGGTTTTGTTTCTTCCGCTTTTGTCATCGACAAAGGGCGGCCGTCAGTAGAGTCTGATCGTGCAAGCAGGCGCGGGACCAGGGATGCAGCGCTTTGGCGGCCAGGGCTCGACTTCTGTTGTTGTTTCTGGTCGAAGGTCGAGTATGTTTTCGATTCAGCAGCGAGGGATGTCAAATGAGGATATCATCATTCAATTCAAAAGCATGACTATTGCGGCGGATGTGCGGCGGGCGTGTCCCCCTCCTAAGCCGCCCCCTCCTAAGCCGCCGCCATGGAGTGCAAACAAGTCTACAATTTGGAAGAAGGTGGGTGAACTCTGTTTTAATTCCATTTTATTCTGTTTGTGTTTTTCTTTCGAATTGCGTGTTGTTTTGGACGTGTTCTTATTTTCTAGCAAAGAGATTCTAGATTTTAAGTCATGTGATGAGAAGTCTTGTTTGCTAGTCATTTGGCTCAGTTAAGCCCATTACAGGATCAACGAATATTAATATATTATTGCTTCTACAGAGGTGATATATTCTGAGTCTGGTTCAAGGGCGGACGACAAATATAAGGCTTTTTATCGCTTTGTTTACTTCTTGTTATTTGATTGTATTATCAATCATGTGACGAACGTTATTTTGATTTAATGGATTTGTTGGATTTGATGATAAAAAAGAATCTCTTAAACAAATCACATTTCTATACAAATTTTTGAGAAAAGAGGCAAAGAAGTCCTCCAACTATTTACAATTCTGCAATCAGGCTCCCGAACTTGAAGAATTGCAGATACATCCATCAACTCATTGAAAATGATGCAATCAGATCATTTTTTACCTGTTGGTGGGGGTGAGAAGATGAAGTATTACCAGCACTAGCAGGTAAAAAGGACCCGATCGCATCATTTTCAATGAATTGAGTGGTGTATATGCAATTCTTCAAGTTCGGGGCTGATTGCAGAATTACAAATAGTTCAAGGGCTTATTTGTCCAAATTTTTTAAAGCTGGTCATTTTGTTTTGCATTCTAGATGTTTTGGTATCTTTTTGCTACGAGAATTTTTTATTCTATTTCGGGTAGGGGTGGACTCGGGCCGGGCGGCCCGACCCGGAACCGGCCCGGCCCGGTTACTATTTGGCCCGGCCCGGGGCCCGGTGGGTCCATCGGTTCGGTTTGCCCCGGCCCGGCCCGGGTGATGGGCGGTCCGGGCTCGGGCCCTGCTTTAGGTGAACCGGCCCGGCCGGTTCGGGCCCGGTCCGGGCCTTTTTTTTTTTTTGAAATTTTTTTAAGTGTTGGGTTTGATTAGGTATTTTGGTCCATTTGAGGTGGTTTGGGGTTGAGGGGGAGGGGTAGGGGGTTAAATAGGAGAACCAAAAAAAAAAATGGACCGGTTTGGCCCGGCCCGGCCCGGATTGGCCCGGAACCGGCCCGGCCCGGATTGGCCCGGAACCGGCCCGGGTCCACCCCTAATTTCGGGTATCTCTTTTGCCTTGTAGTGTATTCAACAAAATCAATTATTTCTCATTCGGCATTTTGAGTGATGGATAGTCTACCCGGGGGGTATCTTATCCGAGGGGTTATTGCGGAAATAACTTAGAGAGAAGTCAGAGCAAATAGGAGGAGAGAGAGTCGATTTTATTAAATGAACTCAGCGTGTGGAGTTGGGATGTAGATCCTGATTTACAAGGAGAAATGGGCTGTTATTTATAGCAGCAATAAATGCGATGAGAGGACACGTGTCAGTAATCCAACGGCCGAAGGGTCACATCAGCCGGCTGGCACCGGCAGTGGCACGTCCACCGCATTGAATGCGGTTGGCGGATGTGACGTGGTATTAAATGCGGTGGTTGGCTGTCCCTAAAAGGAATCTTCGATGATTGAACATGTTTGGCCGAAGGCTCCTTGTGCAGCCGAGGGCTCCATGTAACCGAGGGTTCCATGTGGCAAGGACCCTTGTGTGGCCGAAGGCTGGGTTTAGCCGAAGGCTTCTCTGATGCCGAGGGCATGACAATGCCGAAGGCTCACGTTTCCGCCCGTTTTCGCCCAGCAGCTTCTTATGCCAAAAAGGCTATCCTGTGAGTTCTGGAGCCTTCGGCCAAGGAGGCCGAAGGCATCCCAGTGTGTATTCCGAGCTACTTCGAGGCTTGGGCCGTTGTATTTGGGCCTGAGTTGTTTCCTGGGCTTAATGGACTTGTGTAGGAGAAGTAGGAGTCTATGGGCCGGGGGTTCCTGGGCCATATACTCCATCAGGAGTCCCTCACTCCTTTTGCCGAAAGGTACTTGAGGGAAAAGGAGTAGATGTGTTGATTCTTCCGGAGGCTCCATCATTTGGTTGGGCGCCTTTGCTTGAGAATTTGCCTTCTGCTGATTGCCGAAGGCTTCCCTCAGTCCCTCACACGTCGAGGGTTTTCTGAGGGTAGGTATTCATGATCTTCGCATGTTTGCCGGGGGCTCCCCTCAGTCCCTCACATGTCGAGGGCTTTCTGAGGAAAGCATAGATGTATTGCGTGCGTGTGTTGTGACGAGGGCTGCTTCATTTCCGCAAATGACTTGTGGAAACTTTTGATATTCTGTCTCCGCCGAAGGTTGTGATTCCCGTGGGGTGTGTCCCAGTCCCCCACTCCTTTAGGCCGAAGGCAAGTTCGGGCTGAAGGAGTCATGATGTGTTGGTAAGATCCCGGTGTCCCACTCTGAAGAGCCGAGGGCCTATGCTTCCATATGCTCGAAGGCTTTATGCTGCTGTGGGTCCGAAGGCGTTTAGTGGAATTCGTTGTCCGAAGGCTACGGTGAGTGATAACCGGAGGCTATCATTCGAGGGCACCCCCAGTGTTGCCGAAATATAGTCGTTGTAATATAGCCGTTGGGAGAGGGGTTGACGTGGCGCGTTCCCGTTGGTTAAAAGGGGGCGGGTGTCACCCATAGGCTGAGGCGGCGGCCCGTAATGATGGGCTTTTCAAATCGAGGCCCAGTTCCCGAGGCCCATTTGCCTATAAATACCCCGGGTCTCAGCTCATTTGTCCTTGTGCGATTTCTAGAGAGATAGCGGAGCTCTGCCAAT